AGAAATCATTTTTTGTCAAAATGGATTTTTTTCTCTTTATGGTCTCGCATGGTTTTAATGAATTTTTTGTGCCCATTACTCGGGCATGATATTTGTAGTAACGTATAGAGATCCATTTGAAGGACAGAGCAAGGCCATTGCACCTCCGATGGCGGGGCAACATAGAAATTATAGAATTTTTAAATATATAGATGAAATTCTTGTTATTCTGACTTTTGAGTCTATGAACATGCTCCTCAGCCAAAGAAAATGTTTCAAATTTCAAGCAGAGGTATTTTTAGCACGAGCCTGTTATCGATTTTCCGTCAAATGAAGGACAGTAAAATATCGTGGAAAAATTCAAACCCCCACAATATTCCAAACACCCAACCATTGATGTGGTGTGATGCATTGGATGTAGATTCAATGGTTAAAGCTAATTTTCTTATAAAATTATTTTTGGTCTGAAAATTTCCCATTACTTGGACACCCATATGAAGACATTAATGCATGATTCTATAAATAAAACTTTTTAATCTGTCTTTCGTTTACATAATTTACATTAGCAAATTTGATTACTCGAGATGAAAGATAAATCTTGCATCATATGTGAAGCCATCAACAAACAGAGAGCAAAAAATGTCATTCAATTCCAAGCAAAACCAAAGCAAACAGGAGCAAAACTTGTATAAAGACAACAGCTCTATCCAAATTCACAGTACTTTATCTGCATTTTCAAATGCGAATCCCTCCTCTATGAAGTTATGACTAACAAATCCTCAGCTGCAACGGTATCGGCAACAAACAAGGAAAAAAATTCCTGTTTCTTAAACTATTGTTCATGGCAATATGGAAACTCGGATTCATCAATGTACCGTCAATTACTGTGTTTTCTTTTGTAAGGCTTGATGAAGAACATCAGAGACACCCAGCAGCTCCGATTGAACACTGCCACGTGTGACAGTAGCCAGGTCATAAGTTTGGGTAGCACAAACAATCATGAGAGACAACCACATATGTGGAGGCAGCAGTACTTCATCCTTTGTTAGAATTTGGTATCTTGGAATGCCTAGCGCCCTCACAACCTGGGCAGTTATGCAAGCTTTCATGAATATAAATGTCACAATCAAGGCAGAAGTGATGTTTGCATTTTGGACAAGCAACACGAAGGCTGGGTTTGTTTCCTGTGTCATAATCAGTGAAAAGGAAGTAAGCCATGGAAGTAATGCCGCCTGTTACATAGGCAAAGACATTCCACATATGCAACCGGTAAAAAGCTGAAAACATAGGCAAGGTTTATATATGACATCAATGAATAACTTAGTTTTATTTGGGAGGTGCTCCTACTCTTTCCCTGTGATTTTTATAATCAAGGGTTGAGCCAAATTTCCAGTTCACCTTTTCACTTTAATTGCCTTTTCTCTTCCTTCACTTTTCTATTACTGCCTCTTTTTGGAGGGGATAAGATGCCTCTCATTCTCTCATCATCCAACCTACTCCAATTTAGACTCTTCTCCTCTTAAGTAGTCTTATCATTATTACATTCAAAAGCAGCTAGATGCTGCTTCCTAAGGGAGCATCTGCTAACATGTTGGGGAACAATTGCATTATGGCAAAGAATCACTAAGCTCCCCAGCTTCCTTATTGGACCTGCAGAAGTTTCAATGTTGACAGCAACACAATCATAGAAAACATGACTGATCTACATCTACAACATTTCACAACCAAACAAAAACACAGATGACCAGTAGCAATGCCATTCAAATGCATGTATGATCAAATTTATTGCAAAAGCTCCAAATGATCTATTTTATGTACATAAATACTTACCGGGATTGAGAAGACTCTGTTGGCAGCCAAAACAAGCTCTAGGAAACTTGTTTTGTTGATCAATTAGTAGTGACAGAGAGACCTCATCAAATGGCACAATGGGGAAAAGATGATGATAAGACCTTGCCAAATGAGGAGAAGAAATGAGCGTCAACCCACAAATGCGACATTCAGTAGGTAGGTCACATACACGTGCCTTGCACCTTGGACAAGTGTATCCACCTCCGACCTTTGCCTCCTTGTGACATGAACAAATTGCCACAGAGCCCTCTACCGCTCTTTGTGGGAAGCCCATCTTTATCAAATTAGCAATTGCAAAGTCTGCTATTGCTGGTGGTGGAGGTGCATGTTCCAAGATTAACTCTCTTAAGTGTGGCTATGCAAGGAGATACATATCAGAATGAATGTTTTAAAAACAAACTTGTCGGTTAAATCTAATAAATAACTCTGGATGAACATCAGACTCAAAAAAAATTAAATGTTAAATCTTAGTGTGAGACTAAAGACCACTTTCCAGTCTCTATGACAACACTGTTTCTTATTTTGGGTTATCATCAAGGTCATTCTTGAGAAACGTTTCATCCAGATGATAGAATTTGTGCTCAAATGCCTTGAAAAACCAGAATTCATGTTATTTGAGTAGTGTAGGGTTACTTAGTTGAACTCACCTCATCCAATGCAATATAGTACAAGCCACCAGTTTCCTGGCATAGATGTTTGCATATGAAAATTTCTGCTGAGAGACCAATAACTGAGCACCTAATTTTGGATTTCTTACATTTCTGGATAGTTTCCATTATATCTCCTGGATCACAGGTACTGAGAGCTGAATACAAGATTAGAACTTCTCTATGACCATATGATGGAATCTGTTCCAGATACCCATGTACAAGATCCAATGCGTTCTGTAGGGACGAGTCACCTGAGCATTCCAGCTTACCCATCAAAGCTTGAACATGAGAATTGGGACTGCCACCAAGATCCGTTAAGCAATGGGCAACACCGTCTTTTATAGTCACCAGGCCAACTTGACTAAGCGGATTCTGGTAAAAAAACTCTCTAATGAAAGCCTCAACATGTTTTGCAACCACGCCCATTCGGCTTGGTCGAAAATCCATTTCCGCAGCAGCCTACAAATATTAAAAGAAACCAAAGGCAACAATTTGAAATCAATTAAGTAGATACATATCACTCAGAACTATCAAAGAACTTCTGCATCCATGTATCTTAATGTATCATTTTCATTATTGATTGAAGATGATATAAACCAATGTCCTTGGTTGTCCTCACTCAGCTCTAACCATTCTTCAACCCAGAATAAAGTCAATGTACTTCAAATCAATTTGAAGTTCCAAACTTTACTAAACAAAAGGTTCCAGAAAAACCAATTCCATCAGATCAAACCAAAGAAAAATAAGCTAAACTCTCTCTCTCTCTAAACAAAAACAGACAGACCCATAACCAAAATTGAACAAAATTTCCTTAGAGCTAAAAAGGGTATTAAGCAAATGGGAATCAAATACCTTAGAGAGGTCGATAACAATGTAAAGATAACGAATAAGACCCTTTTGAATTCGAGCAGTGGAGGCAGCACGAAGGCGACGACGGTACTGTGCATGTTTAAGGGTCTGGTTGTCAATGGGCTGAAGAAGCCCAGACTCGTCCTCTTGCAGTGACTCCCATGACCTCTCATCAGCGTAGGCTCGTTCCCAAGCAGCGAGGCCTCCATTGTTTGCATCGTCTTCGTCTTCGTCTTCCTCTGCCTCTCCATTTAAGCGTCTTTGCTCGCCGTTGTTCATGTTTCGATTGACCAGGATTGCTGTGGCTCTTGGAGTGACGAGACCCAGAGCACAGAGCCACAGACCAGTTCATAATGGACCGAGATTTTCCTAGGTTTTTCTTTTTCTTTTCTTTTTTTCTTTTAACTAAATATTCTCTCTCCAAACAAATTAAATACAAAGTTATTTCTTTTAGTTTTTTTAAATGGAAGATTAGAAAGTTAAAATTACATTATTACCTTTAATTATTAAAATTATTTAATATAAAAAGGTTAAAATTGTTGTTTTTGTTTTTGTTTTTGTTTTTTATCATCTTTTTTTTGGGTGAAATTAACAAAGAGAGTTCTCCTTTTTGTTTTTTTTTTTTTTGTGTGGTAAATACCATGAGGTGTCACCACACCCGAAGGATGAGATTAATCACACTCGGAGTTTGGCTTGCCCCTGGCCACAAAGTCCTTTCAACGGGTTTCGAATGCTATCATTAAGAAAAGAGGGTTCTCTTTAATGATATAGCACAGATAACAATTTTCTGAAACCCAAAAAGAAAGAAAAAGAAAATAATTATCCTATTTTATGAGACAGAAAAAAAGGATAACTATTTTCTGATTCATTAAAAAAAGAAAGCAATCCTTTTTTCTTTTAATTTTTAAAACCAACTTTCTCTACTTCTTGGTCTTGGGCAAGACATGGGAAGAATGATATGATCATATGAACAACAAAATTGCAATATGTAAGTTGGGGAAAAAAAAAACTCAAACTTTGATGAAACAATTCCTTATACATTTCAGACCAAAAAAATAAAATAAAATTCCTTATACATTATAATGGGTTGTCTTCTTCAGTTCTTTAGTGCTTTGCTCATCAATTAACGTTGAACAAGGCTTTACAACTTCTGCTAGCATTTTTGCAGACGAAGATTTATGTTATGTCGAGACGGAGTAATTTTTGTATGTCTATCATTCAATATACATAGGAAAAATGAAAATATTTTATTTTTGTGCATACAAAAATTTCTCGTTATCTAAAATCCCTTAGAGCTTAAAAAATTTATTTTAAAATTTGGTATCTTGCAAACAATAACTCAATAATTCATATTCAATTCGGACATTTTTCCTGAGGTTAACATATTTCATCTCTTAGCTAAATGGGCTTTTCTCCTTGGACCTTGAATTGGTGGTCTCATTCATTTTGGGCTAAAATACACTTTTTGGTCTCTCTGGTTTGTTAAGATTTCCAAATTAGTCCCCAAAATCCTAAAAATGATTACTTGTTTTTTAAAAAAGCTTTTTTTGTTACTTTACAAGAGAAAAGCATCGGTTCAATTAAGCAATTTACATATGAAACTCAAATCTAAATCCTTTCATCCGAATTCACCCTTTAAATCATGAAATTAAAAGTCAATTTACTTGTTTATTTCCGCCTTTACAAGCTTCTCATATTTGTATCTTTTAAGCCTACAACTGAAAAATATAACCCCCAAAAAAATTTCATTTCCATATAAAAAGGAAAAAAAGACAATATGGACAATGGGAAGAGGAATGCCACAATTGGTACCCTGCATCAGCGACTCCACAAGTCGAATCGTACAGTCAATTAATTGGCCAGGTCTTGGCGACAGCATGGATCAATGTAAAACACTATGCTTTCTGATGCAGTACTTTTAAAACTTTTGAATTGATGCAGGAATTGCCTTGTTGAGATCATCTGGGTATGTATCTTCAACCTTTTTAGCACCAGCTCTCAGTCCACTTTTTGCTCCATGTGTGGTAGCACTATATAAAAGTGTGGCATTCAAGCTTTATGAGTTCTGGAGAAAACCCCATCCCTAGCCATTTATTAAAAAAGAAAACAACATGATTGGATTGCACCACAGAACGTCTATTGATGTTAGAAAACTGATAAATGGTTGACTGAGGAGCAATATGTCATTAGAAATTCAAGCCGATGGCACAACACCATGCAAAAATGGTAATACTAAAAAACAAAAAAGTGAGAGTATTAGCAGCTTGCTTATAAATACATGGCAAGAGAAAGAAATAAAATCTAACCTCTAGAACTTTCCGCTGATAGTCGACCTTAATTTGCTTTGCCCGCTGCAGGATTCCGGCCAAACTGGATGATCATTGGTTTGCCTTTGAATACATACCCATTCACTAGATTCTGCAACCAAGATTTATAATGCACAACAAGTGAGAACTTTTATACCTCCTCCAACTCAAAAGCAAGATAACACAAGAACTAGAGAGATCTTCTTGAATGATAAGCAAAACTGTATAATCCAATATGTAATCGGAAAAACCTATATATATATATATATATATACAGAAATTCTCTTATGCGGACATCCGGACGTTATTATCGTGCGGACGCAGTGTATTTTGT